CAACTCGAGAAGAATATCCTCCTCACATGTCGTCGCCCGTACCTTCTTGGAAACTGTACTGCTACAGCATTGGGTGCCACCACATGGAATCGAAGGGCGTTGGAGAAACTCTCGCCTACTTGGAATGGAAGGGGGCTGAGTACCTAAAAGATGGAATATCCAAGTAGGTCACCTGACCTGAATCCCCTCAATTACCCGGTTCGGGCGGAGTTCAATAGGGTGGTCTACGGTGGCGGAGAAATCGACTATCTCGCTGATACTTACTTACTATATGCTCTTTAATATGGTGGTAAAATGTCCGATCAGAATTTAATAAAGTGTAACTTATAGCGCCTCGAAAGTCAATGAAGAAAAGTGACTTTTTTGGGCCCTCCCCCTGTATGTCTTCAAAGAGCACCGACCACAGCGGCTGTCTGTACCGTGGAATAGAATGCTTACCTTGAACAGCTCCTGAATGTGCTCTATCAGACATTCTCTTGTACAGTTGAGAAATTGCTGACCAGCGGTCGTGAAACGAGAAACAATCTCTGAAAAAGCTCCCAATGAGATGGTGAAAGTAGTGAAGGTTTGGGAGGATTATCTATGGCAGCTAGCTCTTAACTAAAGGAAATAGCAAAACCAGCTAGCTCTCAATTAGAAGAAAATAGCAAAACCTGTCATGGGGGCTGATAGAACAGCGGCGGCTTCTCCTATGGTTCAAGATGCAAAAGCAGCGCATTGCCAGTAGACGCTTCTTCTTCCCTCTACCTGTGATTCGAGCTCACTTATAGTTAGGCGAATGAGGCCTTCCATTTCTATGCAGGGGGGGGCAAAGAAAATACACTCACTGTCTCGATTCTCAAGAGCTGTTGAAGTTACACTTTATCGGAATTCTGAACCTTTTCCACCACCATAATTCAAGAGACATATTTGTATACTATCATGCGTACTGCTCACAGCCTTCTGGACGAAAGCCTCGAGAGCTTCTGCCGGGGACGAAAGCCATCGAGAGATTCTGCAAGCGACAGTGATTCGGTACCTGAGTTCAGCGAGATCGTTGGTTTCTCTGCCCGTTTAGCTCCGCCCTACAGGGTAATTGAGGAGGTTTTGGGCAGGTGGCACACTCGAATATTCCGTCTTTTCAGGTACTCAACGCCCTTCCATTCCAAGTAGGCGAGAGTTTTTCCAACGCCCTTCGATTCCATGTGGTGGCACCCAATCCTGTAGCAGTACAAAGTTTCCAAGATGGTACAGGCGATGACATGAAGGCAGGATATTCTCCTCTAGCCACGAAGGCAATATCGTTCTTCCCATCCCAGGAACTTCCGGTCCATACCATCAACCCGCGCCTTGGCGACTGCAGTGAAGATGATATCCTGGACCATAGCGACGTTGTCGGAGCTGCTCGATGTTGGAGATGTCTCAGATCAAGGGTATCGGTCCGCAGGCATCTGTAAATGGGTGACCCCATACAAGAAGTTTTGCAGCTGTTTGGAGGTGACGTGAATTCCATAGGCCTTCTTCAGTTCGGCTGCGATTGAGATGGCTTCATATTTTGGTGTACATGAAGGTGATGGGCGAGAGCCTGCTCCTGCTTATCGAGGAACATCTTGGGTATCTTCCGCCCTGGTACTCGTATCCACGTCTTCTCTCTGGGCTGCGTAACTTTACTGATATGTGCCTCGGGCGAAGTGTCTTTTTTTGCCACCCCCTTGTAGAGAGCCATTAAAGAACTTGACCGATTTTACCATGATGGAGACTTGATTCAGCTTCACAGGAGTTCACGTGTTTCACCAGGGTGAGACTGGTTAACCGGAAGTAGTGAAGGAAGCAAAAGCGCAAAATAACCGCCTTTCTGCCCTCCCGTCGCCGATTTGCGCCCACGAAGTGTTTTCTGCATGCCATACTGTTTATGAGTAAGCCTTCCAGCTAGATTCAAACGGGCAGAAGCGGTCATTTATTTATTTGTTTATTTGTGCTATTGTGAGCGGATCGCATGCTCGAGATCTCCTTCTTCTGTTCTGCCCGAAGTCCCGCTTAGGTTCATTCCTCATGGGTTGAGTTGGTGGTACACCCCAATAATTATGTGGATCTAGTGGTCTGGAGCAAGAGACCGAATCTTGCTCAAGATCAAGGTACAATGGTACAACTCCTTGCGCACTTCTCCACTCGTTCGATTATCTCAGAATATGTCTTTAAACAGTTTCTTGCTGAGTGAGCAGTTCAGAATGCGGACCCTACGTCCATCTCGGTGTACCATTGAAAGAATGCGGAGTGATGAGGGGCTCATCTTGTGCATAACCCTTTGCAAGTCAATGAAATTCGTACCTCATAGGCAACTCGCAGTCCT